AGATAAAATTTATATTGTGGCTCAGTGGCAGAGCGCTTGCCTCGCACATGTGAGGCACTGGGTTCGAAAAAATAAACAAAATAAAGACAAGAAAAAACCCGTACACTAGCAAATCATGTTATTTTGTACAGTATCAAACTTGCTCTAAATAAAAAAATACATATTTTTAATAGTGACTGGGTAGAGAGAGCAAATAGATTAAATTAATAAAACAATCTCTTATCTCCAGGACTTCAAATCCATATTCCAATCCATTAATTAAATTAAATCATACACAAACTATCGTCGCACTCCTATTATTTCAAATTAGAAACACTTAATCTCAACAATACTTTCTATAAAGCTTATAAAGCTCATGTTAAAAGTTAAATGTTCTTTTTTTCTATTTGTCCTAAGGTAGAAATTAATATTTCTGAGCACAATCTCACTTTTAAATATAACTGATTATATATATATATATAATTCAAATTTTCTTTTCATAAACACTTAATATGCTTAAATGATTAAAGAAAAAAAAGATGTCTCTATAATCTTATTTATGTGGTCTTGATTTCTATTTGTGAGACTATGTGTGCATTAATAGAAACTTTTATGAAGTTATTTTCTCCTAACTATGCATCAACAAATGTAGAATCCTTCTCTACAACTGTCTGTTCTGAATACGACACATGTACCTCTTGTGAAAATGACATTAAGTAGGTTAAAATGTTTGTTCACAGCTAAAAATCTGAATTTTAGAACAACTCTATTAGACAGTGTGTCCAGTGAAGCAAAGTGAGATGTTAAAGATTACAAAATCCCTCCTGCTCCTTCTTGCTTTTAGACTATAGAATAACAGGTAATAGCAATCTGATTTGGATGCAACAGACAAAAAGAATGAAAGGATTAAAACAAAGAGTCATCTATACAATTCTGTAGCTTTTTATTTATTTCACTTAAAGTCTGCCAACTATATAAATATTAACACAAACTTAAAAATGAGGGCAGAAAAATAACACTTTTAAGTTTTGGTAATTGGTATTTTAGTACAATTTAATTTGTGGCCAATCTGTAATATAGACAAATTTTGAGCACTGAATTTTAGTTATAATGCTTACCCATTTTTAAAACTCTCTTCCTAAAAAACAATTATGTGGGAATGACAAACTTTTTCATGACTTCAGTGTAACAAAAAAATGCCCTAAAGATCCTTGTAAGGCAGGAGTTCTGTGAACTCCAAGAATTTTTTCAAAGAACCCCCAAAGGAACATAAACAGTAATCAAATGAGATAATTGCTAATTTAACTAATGTCCACATTTGACTTAATAAGAAGCTTTAAGAAATGGGCTGGTTCTGGAAAACTAGTCAATCACATCAATGAATTCAGTGCTAGCATAAAGCACAGGAATTACTATTTATTCTGTTTCACTGTTAAAAGAGCAATGGGAAGGGGGCTAACTTATGCAAATATTTAAAGACTACATTTGGAAATATGGAAGCTTCTGTACCACTGCTTTCACTTTACAGATAGTTAAGATGTGTCATCGAAACTTTAGAGCAACGGTAGGAAAATCCCATTAGTCTATTTTTTATTTTTTCCATTTCACATAATCCTTTGAAATATTAGGTGATTAGGACAGAAGTCTTTCATTAGAAGAACATATGAGCAGGTGTTAAGATACACTATAAACTCAAATAAAAGTCTATCTGAACATATGGTAATAGTATAAATAAGCTCCTAAAGTTAATGCACTAATTAGAGTAACCAAAACATTAAAGAATAAAATAGTAAAGAACTTGGGAAGAAAAGATTCAAAACATATATTAGTGAGATTTTACAAATAAATTATGTTTCTTTTACTTTGCTCAATGAGAATTTCAATTTCTTTTAGAAAATTTCAGTTAGGAAACTTTTAGTCCATCTTGTCAACTTCAAGAAGGTTTCTAATCTGAGGTGAGTTATGTTCAACTGACAAAGTGGTTCTGTTAGGAGCTGTCCATGGGTTGCATGTGGGTCACCATGCATGGAAGCCTGGTGGTCAGACATCTGGCGTCTGGGAATGACCAGTGGACATTTCCTCTGGTCAACTGCCCAGGGACAATGTGAATCTCTATCCCACCCTGCCATGGCCCACACAGCACCTGAGAGGGTGTGACCTGCCAAGATGTCAGTCAACTTACTGACTGCAAGATATCACAAAGCAAGACTCTGCCCTTGAAACCTTATCCCTGCCTTTGATGTACTCTCTTAAACAAACCATCAGAGCCATTTTTTCTTTGTCTAGTTCCAGAACCCATGTGAAGTAGATGTATCAGGGGCTTCTTCTTTTGTAAATGTATTTCTGAGTATTTGTGTTTTGTTATTCACTAATTATTTGATATTTTAAGTTTTAGGGTGGCTTGGATTTCCCTAGGTAGGAAGAATCCTCTAATGAGACGCTGCTGGCCATCAGACCACTCCCCACACCATAGGGTTCCATTTTGGGGTTGAGGATATTTTATTGTAAATGAGTTTAGGAGATGAATTAAGAGGAGCGATAAATACAAAGAACTTCTCAGACAACAATTGGGTGAGTTTGTTAAGCACAGGGTAAAATTAGGTTTGACTTGTTAAATGACTTACTGATAACCAGTGTAGTTTTCTTACAAGCACCATTGATTTTACAAGACACCACTAGCAACAAAAATCCAGTATATAATTCCTTCAAGTTAGAAAAAAGAGAAATGAGAACCAGATATGTTAAGTAACCTAAAATCAGAAAAGCTAATCAACGCTATAAACCTGGAGTCATCGTTCCTTTTACTAGAAAGGGAATCCTTTCTTTCAAACACATCTCCCAAATTCTTAGACCAAAGTAAAACTCTCAAAGAAGTTCCCGTCTATTATAGTCTACCTTAATCAAAATATAGAAGGATTCTTTAAAATTTCTCCAACTGATCATCTCCTGAACTCTTAATTCATCTCTTGAACTCATTTCTGGTAGAAGTATTGCCTCCTATTCCACCATGTCACTTAACCTAAGGAAGGAACCCCTCTGTCAGTTGAGCATAACTCACCTCAAAATGGAAAATTTCCTGATGCTGACAAGATAGAAAATTTTCTTTAGGAAACTTAGCCTAAGAGAAATTGAAGTTTCCTTGATTATTTTCAGAAATTCTAATTGAGCAAATGAATCTATGAATCTACTCATAGATGAATCCCTAATTAGTTAATTAATCCCTAATTAGTGAGTTTCATCTCTCACCTGTCCAGCTACATCTTAGCAGCTCCAAACATACTCTATACTTTTTCACATTCTCAAAATCTATGTGCACACAGTTCCTTCTGGCTAGAAATACCAGGAATAAGTCTGAATAATGTATATAAAATACCAAGCAAGATGAAGACAGGATATATGTTAATTTCTTAATTCTTATACACTGTGGCAACTACCATTTATTGAAAACATTATGTATAAATGTTTCAAATGCATGATGTCATTTATTTCTCAATTAACTCTGTACTTCTAAGTACTTCTAAGCACTGACTTTAGAAATGAAGAAGTAAACTCAGGATAAAAAACTTTTCCAAGGATCCATAGCAAGCAACAGAACTACATGTAAATAGAAATATATATACACAAATATTCTTATCCCTTTATCTCACTTTCTCTCCCTTCCCCCATAACAAATGCTGGCATGGTTAACAAAATTGGAAACTTATTTTCTACATATCAAAATAACAAACAGATATCAAGAGTTAAAATAGTTTTGGATCCTCTGATCCAGATTTTTCCCCACTTATAGAATTTTACATCAGAAATATAACTATGCTGTAAAACTGATTTTTGAAAGGTAGTCTAAAAACAAGAAGGACAAGCATCTAAACACCAACTACAGTTATGTTCAAGTGATAGAATTACAAGTTAATTTTCTTTATTCTCTATATTCTAAAAGTTCTTTATTATGTGGGAAAATGTAACTTTGAGGCACAAATGATAGAGGGATAAAGAAGAGTCTGTTGAATTAATATCATTTATATGGCTCAAATACTGAAGGCTGAGGAGGAAGCTTGTGGTTACTTAGATTTGTTTTCATCCTTCTGATTACAACTTGTATAACTTAGTAAGCATAGTGAGAAGTGGCATAATTCAAATGCAAATGCTGATACAACTAAACAAAACCTCATGCTTATTTTAAAAAAGTAACTAACACTTATCAACTAGAAAGAAACACAGCACTAAAAGAAGTGAGGCATATATCTTCCTAACTATTCACTCATATGTATTCAGACTTAACAGTTTCACTCTGCAACTCAGGGTGATGTCACATCCATACAGTAAAGTGTCCTGAGAACAATAAGGGTTAATGTGAGACTGTACCAGTAAAATACAAAAGTATCTTTCTTTCACCCAAATAGAATATAAGGTAAAATAAGAAGGAAACACTTTTAAAGTTGCCATCTACTTTTTAGGCCAAAAATATATTTTTGCTTATTTAATTCTGTGTTATTGATGAAATGCATTTTTATTCACTTAGAAAAAAATCACGTTTTCCCATTATGTACACTTCAGCATATTTAACAAATTCAAACAGTATTAATTAAAAACCTTAATGTTCAAATAAATGATATTTGATATCCACTTTCTTTCCCTCTATTACTACTATAGAAATTTGGTAGGAACTGTCAAAATATAAACACACAGAAACCAAACTGAAATTTCAAAGTATTTTGGATGCTTTTAGGCATGGTGTGTAATAATGAAGGTTCAGGCTAATGGCATAATTAGAATGCATTCTCCGATCAATATTTCTTTTTTCTCTCAAAAAGGCAGAACAATAACAACAAAAAAGCAAACAACTTAAAGATCTGTGTCAATTCTATGCTTCAAAATTGGCATATCTAGAAGATATACTATTTTTTAAAAAGGATTTATGAGAAAAATATGTAAGAATCATTCTTATAAGTCAAGTTCCATTACAATAAGTATAAAAATAACAATGAAATAATTTAAAATGTCAACTAGCAAGCTCTATAAATCATATTTTGTTGATTTAATTACAACATTCACTATGAAATATCTAATGCAACAAATATTTTCCCGGAAGCTATCCACACTATAGTGGACATTAAAGATATGGAATATTTATATTTTGTGTAAATTTACTTTAAGAAAGAAGTAACTAATAGGGTTGCCTCAGTTTTCCACCACCTGCTTGTCTCCTCCCTTTTTTCCTTTCCTGCCCTTCTCTAGTCTGGACACTGGGAAAGAAGAGTGGGGCATTTAGGAGAAGATGGGAGCCACAGTCTTCCTGGAAGTCAGGGTCCATGCTCAGAATCTTCTTTCCTTCCTCTCCCAAGACAGATAAGAGTTCATTCAGATTGGCCCTCTTCCAGTCAGGAAATTTTTCTAAAGTGTTACAAACCATCCAGCTAGAGAAAAGAAGAAAGGAGAGGAAAAATAAAAGGAAAAGAGAAACAGTTGAAGAAAGAAAGAAACTCCTCTCTTGTTTATTCCAGTGTTTACTAAGGAATTCTGGATAAGAAATAGCTTGCAAGTGTGAGAAGTCCATGTAATTTAAAGATAATAATTATTTTTTAATTGAAGAAAAGAAAAAGGTCTTGTTTTATTTTTTGGTTTTGTGTCTGCTTAAGTAGATGAGGGTGTAGCAATATCTAACAGACTCAGGAATATAATACAATTGTTCCTGCTTGCAGATGCCTGAGAACCATTTAGGTCTCCTGGCTGCTATGTGTAATATAACCTTCTTCGTGTGGGAGCATCATTCATCTTTCTCAGACTTGTCTGTTCATATAATTTCCCAAGGACATTCATGAAACTTTCCAAAATACAGATCCTTACCCTTCTCCTTTTCTCCCTGAAATATATATTCATATATTTTGTTAACTGATTTTTAAAGATTCCCAGGTGATACGGATGATCAATCAGGTTTGAGAACAACTGGTATAAATAAGTTTTATTCTAGAGATCTCTTCTGCAATTTAATAGTACTGTATGAATCCTAGAACTTGCTTTACTTCCCTAGTTTAAAGCAATCTGGTGCTTTATACAAAAAGTACTATATGGCTTATAGTATTATATGGATCCTTGAACTTACTTTACTTCCCTAGTTTAGAGCAATCTGGTGTTTTTTCTACAAAAAAGTGTTTACTAATAAATCAGAAAAGGATGCCTATTTTCCAGGTAAAACTTAAATGAATTAGAAAAAATAGATAGGTCTTTAATGCAATACAGTAAGAGAAGGAAGAACATACTGTAACTCTAACAAAAATATTAAGCCAATAACAAATGACATTTCCCCTACAGTTGCATGTTTAAACATTTCTGTCACTTTCAAAAATGGGCAAAATATGGTAGAGTATATTCCAATTGGAAAAGCAGTAATTTTGAAATAATTATATAACTAATGGTTCTCGTCAGGAAAATTAGTTTTCTTAAAATTTATATAGTCTCAAAATTTACCACTGAGTTTCAAATCTATTAGTTATGAAAACTATCTTCTATCTATATTTTAGCATTTCTTTGGTTTAAATAACTATCAGTTAATCATGCAACAAACAAGATAAAAGCCAAATATGAAAGGTTGTATCATTCATTCCAAAACTTAAATTAATTTCACATTATATGTGCACAAGCCATGTAATGGTAGGGGTAATTTAAAAATGAATGATGTCAATAGCAAAGAGTTCGGTACTTCTTACTGTGTGCTAGAGACTGTTCTAAGCCCTGTCTATGCATTACCTCATTTTATTGTTCTGACAACCAAAAAGAGAAAAGCTGCTATTATCCTCAGCACTTTACAGAGGAGTACATATCTCTATGTAATCAGTGTGGTTAGGACCTTGGGCAAGGTCTCAGAGTGGGCAAGTAGGAAATCTTGAGATTATGATGGCTTTTTATAAGGAGGATATAGGTTAGTAGAAGACCCAAGCAACAGCATGTGAACCCAATATCAGGACTACTTCATTCAACAAATAATTTTAAAGGATAGGAATCATGAGAAAATCAGGTAAAGAAGATCTTAACACAAAATTTAAAATGCTTCATGGTTAAATGTTTTATTATACACAAAAAGATTTATTCATTAGAATAAGAATAGAAAGAATACATTTCATTATATGACATAAGACATGGGTGCTCTCATCTAAAACAGACATAACTTTTCACAGAATAGGTGATAACATAGATGATAGGTTTCTAAGCCAAGTATTGCTGCCCTTAGTTTTGAAGGAGGGAAATTAGAGAAATTGTTATCCTGACCATTCTTACTCTGCAGCCATGATTCCTGATGTCTCAAGCCACAAGAGGAAATGTTCAATGCTTTTCCTGAGGATAGAGTATACATTTTGGGGGGCTACTTTAAAGGAGCTAGGGAGTCTTAAATGTCTTTTATAAGTACTCGCTTTAACCATTAGCTACCCATTATGAATTGGTGACTAGTAAATATATATGATACATGTGGTACGGAGCTGACAGTATAAGCATGAGGATACTTGCAACAAAAATATGCTGACAGTTTACATACACATGATCACTTTGAAACAAAGATGCTCATTTGTATACTTGAAACACTTTCTATTTCATTCCAGTGATTTCAAACAAGAATCATGCCACACAGGAGATCTTTTACCTAACTTCAGGCTCTAAATAATGTTAATACAAAAGATATCACTTTTAGCTGGGATGTTTTTCCTTTTACCTTAAAGAATATCTTTTAAAGTTTTCATTAGTATAGGTCAGCTGATGGCAAAACTTCAGGTTTATACATCTAAAAATATTTATTTTCACTTTGCTTGAGAGATATTCATTAGATGTAGGGTGGCAGGTATTTTACTTCATATGCTGAATATTTGATTCTGATGTTTTGTTCACTGAGAAGTTGGCTGTTAGTTTAGCTATCAATACTGTCTTTTTTTTTTTCCTTAAATATCCCTCTTTTGGGGGGAAGAGGGGACACAGTTTCTTCAATAAAATAATGTTAAGAAAACTGAATATCCACATAGAGAAGGAGGAAAATGGACTCTTACACAAAGGACCACAACACACACAAAACTCAAAATATTTTGAGTACTTACATGTAAGAGTAAAACAACAAGAATCAAATTGAGAAAAGTTTTATAATATTGGCATGGGCAATAATTTTTTGAACATGAACTCAAAAGCAGAGGTTACAAAAGCAAAAACAGATAAATAGAAGTGGACCAAAGTAAAAAGTTTCTACATAACAACAAAGCAATGAGACAATCATGCAAAAGCAACTAAACAGCAAGAAACAATCCAATATAAAAATGAGCAAAGGACCTGAACAGACATTTCTCAATAGAAACAAGTTGTATATGAAAAGAATGTTCAAAATGATTATTAGGACTTTGCAAATTAAAACCACAATGAGGTTATCTCATATCCGTCAGGATTTCAACCATCAAAAAGAAGAAAGGTTAAGTATTAGCAAGGATGTGAAGAAAAGAAAACCCTTGTAAACACTGTTGGTGAGAAGAGTAAATTAGTCTAGCCATTGTGGAAAACTATATGGAGGTTTATAAAAAAAATCCAATTGTAGAACTACTATATGTTCCAGCAATCCCATATATCCAAATGAACTGAAATTTGTACATTGGACATCTGCACTTTCATATTTGCTGCATCATTAATCATAATAGCCAAATATAAAATCAACCTAGGTAATAATCAATAGATGAGTAGATAAAGAAAATGTGGTGTGAATAGTACTATTCAGTCATGAAAAAAGGATAAAATCCTTTCAACAACATGGATGAACTTGCAGGATATTATGCTAAGTGAAATGAGCCACACACAGAAAGACAAATACTACATGATCTCATTTCTGTGTGTAATCTAAAAAGATTAAATTCATAGAAGAAGAGTACAATGGTGTTTATCAGAGGCTGGGAAGAAGAGAGACTGGTCAAAGGGTACAAAATTTCAGATAGGAAGAATGTTTCTGAGATCTACTGCACACAATGTGACATCTGTAGATAGTAATAACATAATGTATACTGCAAAATTGTTAACAGAATAGATCTGAAATGGTCTCACCCCAAGAAATGACCATTTTAGGTGACAGCTTCATTAATTGATGTTATTTAATCATTTTATATGTTAAAATATCAAACTATACCCCGTAAACATGCATAATTATTTGTCAATAATAATAAGAGACATAACTTAAAGAATGGAAAAAACCTTCCTTGTATTTTCCTTATTTTTAGCAGTTTTATCATATTATGCCAAGGTGGATCAGACACAATTGGCTTTAATCTAGCACTATATTACTTGGTTTTCAAGAATACAGAATAGGAAATTCAGTCTGCACAAATATCTTCAAACTGATCGGAAGGCCAAATAATCACTCACATGAATAGCCTCTTAGATTTCTCCTCCGCCCATACTAAGAGTATCCACTGACACCAGAGACAGAGATGCATGCAGCTGACCTCAATACAGATGTGCCTTGGTTTTCTATCAGTCTCATACTGTTCAAAGGTATTACACCAACTTACAGTTCTCCCAGTCCAGATGCAACACCAGAAAGGGTTTTAGTATTAACCTTAAGAGATATAAAGGAATTTAGCCATAATATTTTGTGTTTGTTTTAATATATTTCCAAGGAAATGATGTTATGAGAAGGCAGACCCAAGATAAGATCCAAGACAAGCCCATATATATTTCATTTATATATATATATATTTCATTATATATTCTCTGCAGTTGAAAGGTCTAGTGAATCTCTCTCTGCCTTGATGTCTTTTGTCAACTCTGTAAAGTTCTCAATAATAATCCCTTCCAATTTTTGCTCTCCTTTTAGATTTCCTGTTAAACATGTTAAATGTTCGTACTTTATTCCCTATTTCTTTTATATATTTTTAAAATAATTTTTCTCTTCTCATGTTTCCTTCTCCTAACTTATATACCAGTTAATTCTTTTTTTCTACTTTACTTACAGTCAACAAATCCTGAGTTCTTCTTTTTGGTAATAGTAATTTTTTCAGCTTTAAGGTTTTCATTTTTAAAATAGTTTCCAATTCCCAAATAAAACTTTCAATCTTGTCTTTCATCTTGTAAGCATGACTACTTTCAAGCTATGTCTGGTAAATCTTATATCTAAGAGTTATGTTATGATTCTGTTTCTGTTGTATGTTGCTATGCTGGATTTTATTACTAACTTTTTATTGTGCTTTAGTTACTATAATTGCAAAACTGGAAAAAATGAAGGAAAAACCTGCTAATGTTACCTTCTTTCAGAAGGAATTTAAGTTTATATCCTGTGAACACTAGCAGGGTCACCTCAATTAATTTTCAGGGACTGATATGATATGAAGGTGAATTACAATCAATATAAAAGCTTCTCTTCTATTGGTTTATCCTATATTACTGTGGGGACCTAAAATGATGATAGTCACTCATAATAACAGTGCACTCCAATTTCTGTGACCCTGTAAAGCTGCCACAGTGATTCCAGCCACCCCACCAAAATCATCAAATGCTTACAGGAGAACAGCAGTCCTAGTCTTATGATTCTTCTGATCTTATTCTTTTCCATTACCTTCAAACAAGATTCTGTTTTTAAATTACAGAATTTTGCTTGAAGGTACTATTTAACAACCAGGATGTATGCCAAGAAATGCCTTGTTAGCAATTTATGCAAACCTCATAGACTGTGCTTCAACAAATCCAGATGGCTTAGCCTTCTATACACCTAAGCTGAATGTTATAGGCTATTGCTTCTAGGTTACAAATCTGTATAGTACGTTACTGTCCTGGCTATTGTAGACAAACAGAACCCAATGGTATATACTCATTCTTCTAAACATAGAAAAGGCAGAGTAAAAACTACAGAATACAAGATTTAAAAAAATGGTACACTTTTACATGAAAACTGGCAGGATTGGAATTTGTTCTGAGAGTGGTGAGTGAATGTAAAGTCCTAGAACACTACTCTATAATGCTGTAGACTTTATGAACACAGAATACTAAGTGGTACATGCTCAGCCTGTGTGAGGCTCTGAATTCAATGTCCAGCACAAAAACAAGAATAACAACAGAAACCCAACAACCAACTAAGCACCTAAAAAACTATTTTTAAGAAGATAATCTAATGAATGGCTATAGAATATAATAAATCATGATAGTAAATAATTATTTATTCATATAATACAGGACTAAGTGAAAACCGAAAAAAAGAAACATTTTTTTTACAACCTAGTATAATTTTCTTGTCAACAAATTGAATATGTTTAAATAATCTTACATAAGTGCATTTTTAGAGAGCAATTCTAGAGAATCCAGAGTGGTCTAATGTGTGTATATGTATAATATCTACTAGGCATGTAACAGTTAATCACATACACATATAGGCCACTCTATTACCTACATCAAATGCTTTTCCTATTGTTAAAATACAACCTCAGCTGAATGCTTACTGAGTATATACTACATGTGATCAATAAGAAAAATGCGACACCGTGGGTACTTGGAGGAATTTCCTGTCATATAGAAGAGATACAGACAATGTGATAGTGCTTGTAATATAAATATGCATAAGATACTTTGATGCATAGAAGGGATACTAGGTCAATACAACATTGTTATATTGTGACATTTCAAACAAACCAAGCAAATACCAAACAAAAAAGAAAATATATATATCAATTTATATTTTAAAAAATTTTAAAATCCTGTGTATACATAAAACATTACATGAGATACCAAGGTTTAAAAACAAAAAACTGATATGAAAACTTACCCCATCTGGTAGTGCCCTCCAGCACACAGCACTAACAAATTCATTTGTATCATCTTCTTTTCGGTCTTTGTCCAGAACACTTTTGACTGTATCAAACTTAAAAGTTAACAAAGTCTTAGAAAGTCCTTTATAGTACAGGTAGAGAGAGTTATTCTCACTTCCTGAAAATAAAAAATAAAAAACAATTTTTTTAGAATTGGAGAACTTGGAATTAGAATATCACAGTTAAATAGAAATTACCAGCCAAAGTTTAACTCAGAGACCAATAATCTTTTATGGTCAAATTTGAAAGAATAGATCACAGAATTAATTGGAAATCAGTTGAAAAAAGCATTCTTAGACAAGAGCCATGGTTTACTAACAATCTAAAGAAATGATCAATGTTATATAATTTAACAAGATTGATACTTCTAAAGTTGAATTTGCCATATATATATATATATATATATATATATATATATATATATATATATATAAAACACTGATAGCATCAACAACAGAACCAGAAATTAGTTATAAGAATCTTAATTTACATTTGAACCAGATTACCATATGGAAATTGAGACAAATGTAAATAACCTATAAAATTTATTTCCCATTTCCGAATAATCACATTATTCTATTAGGAAAGTATACTTTTTTGAACAATCTATCAAGTCTGGATAACTGTGCTGGATATTTACTTTCTTAGTTTATACAAGTAGAGAGAATAAAATTTATTGAATCAAGGTTAAGTCACTTAAAAGTACTGATAAAAGCTCATTAGATATATTAGAACATTTAAGTAATATAAAATTTGATTTTTCTTGTTCTGATTTAAACTTATAAAAGTTATCAACAATAAAAGACCTAGAATAATAGATCAACGTTACCCAAGCAGACCACTTACTAAAGAGAACACTAGATAGAAGAAACTGAATATCAATCTTAAGACAAATATTTGTCTCCTTAATTATTTTTAGTAATTAAGATTTTTTTGTCTTCTACAGAATAGCTATACAAGTTATGCTACACTGGAAAATAACTAAATGAAACAGTTTAAAATGCCATGCTGTATCACGTATTCAGGGTTTGTACTCAATGAGAAATGAAAGGACTAGTGCTCTTTCAGAAAAATTCATAGAACTAAGCTCAGAACTATGCTGCTGCCTTCTATAGACCACTTCTCCTAAACTACAGTGACAGATATCTGCTAAAAAGTTCCCCGAAAGCTGGTGTCACTTACCACAAGCTATGTAATCTCCATTGGAAGCAAGGCCTACAAAGTTTTTTTCATTGATGTGACCCTTGAAGGAACGTAGACAGTATGGTTTCCCCACATTCCACAGTTTTAGCTGGCTGTCTGTTGAGCTGAGATAAACACAAAAGTTGGAAGATATTTAAGATTTCATGGCATTAAACACATCCCCTACTAATTATAGGCAATCCAGTATTGTGGTTCAGAAAGCAGACTCTGGAGCTAAGATGTCTAAGTAACAATGTCCAATCTGCTATTAATTTGCTTTTAACCTTGGGCAAGTTATGAAACCTCACTGGACTCAGATTTTCATCAGTTAAATATGAATATAGTGATTACTACTTTATAGAATTAAGATAAATCTAACAAATTACTGAGAAAATTAAATAATTTTAAATACTTTCAATAGCACTTTTCATATGTAGGAAGTGATCAATAAATTCCAATGGTGTCAACAGCACCATATGACTACCAATCAAACAATAACAGCGCTCTACTGGAAGATGTGTTCAACTTTAGGGAGATATTTGTTCTTCTTGATTTGATTTACTTTTCAACTGTTGAATTATATAGGTATAAGGAACACAAAATACTTTCTAAGTTTAGTTATCCCTACAGAAAAGGGATATGGTTAAAAGATCTACATAAAGTAGATCTTGCTTTTCTATATCAAGTAGATCAGTTTATCTTGCTGAAAGAATATGCAAATGCAGTTATTTACCAAAAAATAATTTTGTATAAAAATCAATGGTAATCATCATATAATCTTTGGACTTTAAAAAAATCATGTTTTGTTTTTCTCCGAATTTCTATTATAAAAATTGGCTCTTACTACACATATAACTTTGGAAACTGCTTTCCTTTACTTCATAGCTTGTTTTATATTTTTCTGTAATGACTGCACAATACAACATTTTATTTTTTACTCAAAGACTCATCGTTCTAAAGATTTTTCATAGATCACTTAAAGATTCACAACCTAGGTACTACTATTAGCTCCACAGAGGAGACAAGGGAAACAAGTTTAGAAGAGTTAGTATGTTTTCAAAGTGCCACAGTGAATAAACAGGATAGCCAAGAATTAAACTGATTGCAGAAGCTGAATTTCTAACTTTTAAAATATTTTTCCATTGCCTGTCATGTTTTCAACATAACATCTGTTTTTAGATATTTGTTTTAATTTGTTTTACTCAACAGTGTTGCTCTGAATATCCCTTTATGCTGCTATTTTAAAATACATTTTAATGTTAACATTACTATTTCCAAATACACTTGTGGTTAAATTTGTTCTGGGTATTTCCAAGGTTCAAATTCATCTAAGAGGGAAAAAAATCATTGTGACGTATTAAAATTAAAAAGGAAAAAAGACTGGTGAAAATATATATTAAAAAGGTCAACTAAGATTTCCAATTTATGCTTAAGTACACACATAATTCCAATTTGTACTTAAGTACACACATAATTCAAAATTAGGCAACTAATTGGTTAAACATTTACAAATTTGAAATTTTTAAAAAAGGAATAAATCTGAAATCAAAGAAAAAAATTTTGCCATATAAACTATCATCTACATTGAAATCTGAGTAATATTTAAATTATTCATTGTCCATTATATTTTCTCTTAAAGATGGGATATTTCTGACTGACTGCCACCTAATTTAATATTTGTGAACTAATTACCCACGTTAATTCTCATTGGAAAGCTTGTTTCCCATTTTGTTACTCAATTCAAATTAGCAAGTTCTTATTTAGAGCAACAAGTGTGGAGGCAGATGTGGTAGGAAACCATATATAAGGCACTGGCATTAATAATTTCCTGAGAGAGATCAGAAACTAAACAAAAAAGAAAAAAATATATCATTAAGCTTGAGATGAAAGCTTAGATATAATCCCAGCAGCTCAGGAGGCTGATGCAGGAGGATCATGAGTTCAAAGTCATCCTCAGCAGAAGTGAGGCAACAAGCAACTTTGTGAGACCCTGTTTCTAAATAAAATACAACAGAGGACTGGGATGTGGCTCAGTGGTCAAATGCCCCTAAGTTCAATCCCTAGCATCCCCCCACCCCCCCAAAAAACCCAACCCAAAACAAAACAAAAAATATAATTAAACCCACCATGAAATCAGAGAGGTCAGTGTTAGTGTAAAAGTCAACAATTTATTTAAAACCCAAAATATGCTACTATTATACTTTAAGTAAACATATAATAGCATATTAGTTGACTTTAATAAAATTCTTTTCATTCTATTGCATTGACTAGGTTGTTTTCTTCTTCAGGAGAATTAATAACTGAAACCCAATTTAAAAGTTCAAATGCCACTAAACTTAGGAGTACTAGATTCAGGGTTACATTAAAAACTAGAATTTATAAATTTTATTCACAAATAACATAAAAATGAGCAATACAGATCAGAATATATGTGTATTTTAAATGAGTAAGATATAGAAATCTACTACTTAAGAAAAAGTGCATATAACCCAATGTTATTCTTTACATACAACTATAGTTATTTTATGAATTGGCAAATGATGACAGAGCTCAGTATTAAGCTCACCCTCAGGGGAGAGTAATACTCACGCAGAGACAATTTCCTCACCACTCACAAACTTTGCATAGGAGACTGCTTTTCGGTGTCCTTTGAATACCATGATTGGCTGTTTAGTGTTACGAAGATCATAGTAGTGGACACAGTGATCTAAAACAAAACAAAATGCAATAAAGTTAGTAAATACAGAAATGGAAAACAAAGCTAATTTTAAGTGGATTTGGTTTTTATCATCAAATGTTCCACAGATAATGTGACCCCTAGCACACCCTGTCCCATAGAAACATCAATTTGAATAGCTGCTTAGGTAGGAACTACTTTTACAAGAGTTAAGGAAACCAGGTCAGGTGAGAAATCACAGTACCTGTTTTAGTAAATTAATAAAAAATAAATAAAATGCACTGAAGAAAAGAGCTACCCAGGAACTTCTCTCCCAACTCGTACATAGTATGGAGTGAAGCCTCTTACTTGGGGGTGGGGGAGGGGAGAATGAAGAAACAGGGTCCAAGTCTAAGAACACAGGCCCACCATGATATAATCCAGTACTGGATACAACCCTACAGCTCCTGCCTACAGGGCAGTGCCTATGGGCTTTGGACCTGAATTAGCCTGGTGGCTTCCACCAATCCTTCCCCAATTTTGGACAGTACAACATGGAATAAGTCTTCAGCCTCTGCAGGTAGGACAAAGTAGTCACAGACTTTGCCTTCGAATTCAGTGTTAGGCAAACTAAATCCAATACTGCGTGGATCCCAATGGCTATTGTCCTGCACACAGAGCCTCTGAATCTACCATGGTGTCAAATGGAAACCTCTGGAGACAACTAGGTGCACCTGTGTTCAGGCTAGCATCATCTGTGGCTGGTTATAACACTTTCAGGCAATATGTGCATACCGGAGCAGCAGACAGGGCATAAATAATATAGGCCTACATCCTGCCCTAGTGCTGTGCTGATCTTGGTAGGCTATGGATTCTAGATATAACCCAGCATTATTATGTTGGTAGGCCAGGGGACTGACTACCCTATCCCAGTCCCAACCCCAGGCAGCACAACATAGATGGAGTCATCATACACTTGGGTAAGATGAGGGCATACACTTGGGTAATATGAGGGAAGCAGGTGCCAACTCATTTCATAGAAGAACTGAGCAGTGATGCTCATTGCAGGGCAGAACCATGTGACACCTGATCACAGATCAGTGGTTGCAGGTGAGCTACCCTTTTAAAGAACTCCCCCAGTTCTCAACAATACTTATACTGCAAATTTAAATAATCTTGGGCTTAGGGCACTCTCTAGTGCTGAAATAGCAGCACTGCTTACAAGCTCAAAGAAAATAAGCAGCTACATAGACTCTCTGGAAGAACAAGTAAAAGCAAAGCCATATGATAAAGGCTGGAATAAATACCTAATCCTTCACTACATAGTTGTCACTGTATACCAACAAGCATCAAGAACAAAATTTATATCAAGTATTTTTTCCCACTGCAGCATGATAAAACCAAACTTTGGAAACTATACAATTACACAGAAACTAAACAACTTATTCCTTAAAAAAAATGTATAAAGACAAAAAAAATAAATTTAAAATTTTCATAAAAATGGAAACACAGTACGCCTAAACTTACTGGATATAGGAAAAGCAATGTTAAAGGTGAGTATACAGCACTCAACATCTACATCAAAAAAGCAAAAATATCTCAACCTATAATCACACCTCAAGGAACTAAAAAAACAAGTCATTCCCAAAGTTGGTGTAAGAAAGTGATTAAGATCAAAGCAGAAACAAGTGAAATGTACATTAAAAATACAAGAGTCATGACACAAGGTAGTTTTTAAAAAGATAAACAATTGATAAACCTTTCAACAGACTCAAATAAAATCAGAGATAAAAATGAATTATTAAAACTGATACCACAGAAATACAAAGGATCATCAGAAACTATTATAAAAAGTGTTTTAGTCAGTTTTTTCATCACTATGACCAAAAGCCCTGACAAGAATGATTTTAGAGAAAAAAAAAGTTTATCGGTTGACTGTGTTGTTCTGTAACCAAGATGAAGCAGAACATTATGACATAAAGGTGTGGAAAGCAGCTCAGGACATGGCAATCAGGAAGCAGAGAGAGCTCCACTCACCAGGGACAAAACATAAACTGAAATGGTAAGACCATGGTGACCTACTTCTTCTAGCTACACCCTATCTGAGTAAGATTACTGCCCAGTTAATCTCTATCACTGGGTTAATGCAGTGATTAGGTTAAGGCTCTCAACTCAATCTGTTTTACCTCTACACTTTCTTGTGTTGTCTCACATATGAGTTTTGTTTTTGCTCCCTGCCCCCATGGGGACATCTCATATCTAAATCATAATAAACTGTATGCTAAAAACTTTAATAACCTAGAAGAAACAGACATATCCCTGGATACATGAACCTTACCAAGAGTGAATCATGAAAAAAGAAAAAAGCTGAACAGCTCAATAATGAATATAACAATTAACTCAGTAATACAAAGTCTCCCAGCAAGGAAAAGCCTCAAATCAGAGGGCTTCACTGCTGAATTCTACCAAACATTAAAAAAAAAAAAAAAAAAAAAATTCAACAAGAAGAATTCTTCCAAATTCATTCTATGAAGCCAGAATTACTTTTGATATCAAAACCAGATAAGAAAACAAAAAACAAAGTTGGAGGTCGATATCCCTGATAAACACAGAACCCTAAACAAAATATTAGTGAACTAAAGTCTGACAGCACATTAAAAAGATTGCTAACATCACTCCACGGATGAAAGATGGTTCAACACATGTAAATCAATAAAGGTGATCCATCATATCATCAGAATGGAGGGCAAAAGCCATATGATCATCAACAAATGGAGAAAAAACAGATTTGCAAAAATTCAGCATGTCTTTATGATAAAAATGCTGAATAAATAAGGTATAGAAGGAACATAATAAACCTAATAAATGCCATATATATAAAACAAGCCCAAAGCTAACATCATACTGAATGAAGGAAAGCTTTCTCTCCAAAATATGACAGGACAAGATGCCTACTTTTATCATTTTATTCAACATAGTACTGGAAATTCTAGTCAAAGCAATCAGGTAAAAGAAAGAAAGAAATGGTAATGAAAGTAGAAGGAATACAGAAAACCCAAAAGACCTTACAAAACACACACACACACACACACACACACAAACACACAAATATATATAAACTCAGAAAGTTGTGGAATTCAAAAACAACACAGAAAAATCTGTAGTGTTTCTATAGGCAAAGTGAGAGCTTTATCTGAAATATCTAGAACCCAAATCTCATTTACAATAGCTAAAAATAAAACAAAAACAAAAGACATCTTGTGTTCACAGACTGGAAGAATCAATATTGTTAAATGTCTAAAGAGATCTATAAATTCAATAAAATCTCCATCAAAATACTAATGACATTTTTTGTAAGAACTAGAAAATTCAATCATAAAATTTGTATGGAACCATGGAAACCCCCATTTTTTTTCTTTCTTTTTTTTTTTTTTTTAAACAAAAAGAACCAAGCAGGAAGCATTAGCTTATCTGATTTCAAAACAAATGTACAGTAATCAAAACAGTATGGTACTGGCATAAAAGCAGGCTCATGAACCAATAGAACAGAATAGAGTCTAGAAAACTCATATCTATGGGCAACCAATCTTCAATAGAGTGCTAAGAATATGTTTTGTGGACAGGGGTCATCTTTTCAATAAAAGGTGCTGGGAAAATTGGATATCCACATGCAGAAGAGTGAAACTAGATACAATCTTTCACAATTCACAACTATCAATTCAAAATGGATTAAAGATTTACTTATTGGGGGGGGTGACTAAGAATTGAATTCAGGGGTACTCAGCCACTGAGTCACATCCCCAGCACTATTTGCATTTTATTTAGAGACAAGAGTTTCACAGAGTTGCTTTGTGCCTCACTATTGCTGAGGTTTGCTTTGAACTCGTTATCCTCCTGCCTCAGCCTCTCCAGCTGCTGGGATTACAAGTGTGAGCATTAAGCCTGGCTGGATTAAAGATTTAAATATTAGATCATAGCTACTAAACTACTAGGAGAAAAAACATCAAATGCTTCAGAACACTGAACAGGGCAAGAACTTTTTGGAGGTGATGTTAAGATTTCACCTAGTAAGCCAGCACAAAGGGAGAAATATCACACAATTTCACTCTTCTGTAAAATCTTAAAAAAGAAAAAAAATGAAATAAAAGTTGAGAGGAAAAAATAGTGGTCAGAGAGACTGGAAAGAGTATGGGGAAAAGAGAAAAGGAATGGTTAGTCAATTAATATGAAATTTTAATAGGATAGTGTTTATCTCTTGGAGTGACTATGGATAATGATAAGGCACTATATTTTCAGAAAAGCTAGGAAAAAGATTTTCTTTTTTTTTTTTTTTTTTTGGCAGGGGGCAGTGTCCCAGGAATTGAAACCAAGGACACTCTACCACTGAACTACATCCACAATACTTTTTATTATGAGACAGGATCTCTCTAAATTGCTGAGGCTGTCATCAAACTGGAGATCCTCCTACTTCATTCTTGCAGGTCACTGGAGTCATAAAGGTGTGCATACCCGATGGAAATAAAGAATTTCAAAGTTTTCTTTCTTTTTGGCAGCAGGGATTCAACTAAGGGGCACTTAAACAGTGGGTCACATCCATGGTACTTTTTGAGACAGAGTCTCACTAAGTTGCCGAGGCTGGCAATAATCAATATTGTTAAATGTCTAAAGAGATCTATAAATTCAATGAAATCTCCATCAAAACACTAATGACATTTTTTGTAAGAACTAGAAAATTCAATCGTAAAATTTGTAGGCTCCCACTGGAGCCACTGGGATTTTAGGTGTGCGATACCACACCTCCTGGCTAGATCTTAGGTGTTTTCACCACAAATAAATGACAAATATTTGAAGAAATATATCTATGTACCCTAGTTTGAACATTATACAATGTATACATTTATGGTAATATCACCATGTACCCCATATATATAATTTTTATTTATCCCTAAACTAAATAAACAAAACCCATTTCTAACAGCCAGAAAACTAAGAGATATGACCATTTTCAAAAATAAGGAAGATACATATTTTCTGTTTTATTTTTGAATCTG